CCCTCCTTGATTATCCCCTTCGCCTTCTCGCTCCCCATCTCTTTCCTCAGCTTCTTCTCTAGTTGTTCAAGCTGCTTCAGCTGCATCTTCAAATCCACCACCTGATAAGTCAACAACGCGAACTTACTCATTTCCCATCTTTCTTGCAGTCTCAAAAAGTGGAAATATTCATGTTAACCAAAACTTTGAGCCAAAAAAAATTAAATAAATAGATGAATAAGAAACATACATATCCTTTGTAGGTGTCAACCAAAGCACCAGCTCCAGCGGATGCGAAATTCGCCCCTCCCATGAAATCACCATCTTTCATTTGGATATATGGTGGAATCAGCGGCAGATTTGCATATTCAGCTGCATAACCAAAGAAAAACAAAAACAAAATAGAACAACAAATAAATTAAGAGGTAACTTATGAGGAAATAAATAGAATATGTGTACAAGTTACCCGGCAAAACAGAAGTTACCGATAAAATCGACGATGAGACGACCGTTGGTGAATCTGCCGGTGGGATAGCGGAAAAACGTCTCGCCATAAGGAGGAAAATTTGCTCTGAAAAAAGCAGTGGTGTTTATGTAGTTGTTGGTCCCTGCGTCGTTAACAGAGTCGCCGAAGATGAACAGAGCGGCATCTTTCTGAGATTGATGGTCGCAGCGAGTTGAGGCGAAGAGGCTTGCGAAAACAGCGAAGAGCAGGATGGGGAGAGTCGGAGTCGACATGATGACCCGTGTGTTGGATGATGTTCGTCCTCTTGAGGTTGGTACATATATATATGGACAAATATGGTGATAAAAGTATTTGTTACAAAGTCTTCAGTCCGTGCATTGAACAGTACTTGGGAGATACATTGGATAAACGTGGGAGATAAATCTGGACAAGTCGTCGCCCGACTATGTGTTTTTACTTTTATTCCCACTTTCGTCAAGGAGACAAGTCTCTAATCAATTTATAGTCGCTTTTTCGTTCTTATCTAGAAGCCCACTTTTATAAATCATGTGCTTAGATGATTCAAATCGGGTTCTTCGTGTGAACACTAGAGCACACCATTGGTTAACTCGATCCGGAGGCTACCATCGTTAGTTTACAGTCGCTCGGGAGTTAATAGCTAGCATAACAGCCTATATCTGGACAACGGGGTCCAGAGTACGTAAAACCAATGAGCATCCTCGCTCTGTTTCTAGTACCGCTGAAGGCAGCCCCCAATCGAACCCGTCTTCAAGTGCCAGATAGTGCGCTTCTGATCATGACTAACCCGAGGCCTCATGGATTAAAATACTTTGTTCTATTGGATGTTGCGTGAGAGTTATTCAATCAATTGAATAGCTCGTACGCCAACAACATTGGGATCAAAGACATATATGACGCCCATCGCAATCATAATCTCCATAATATATTTTATGAGGATCAAAATGACTGCATCTTGAAAATATGAACTCATTTTTATATGGAAGTGATGTCCATGATAAGAAAATAATTAAGCAGAGACCTTGTTTTTCTCTCTATTTTGTTAGTACAGAAAGAAGCAGTGTCTTCAGATCTTTCGCTGTCTATGGTCCCTGGCCAGGCCATACGATGTGTTGTTTTGTGGTAATCTGGTCGGTCCAATAATAACTGCACCTCAGGCCAACAACAATCGTCCTATTATGCATAAAAGGTCTATCGAAATCTATCTAGGATCATCAGTACCCTAGCTCTTGGCATGATCTCGTCAAATACATGAACGTCTAAATTCCTAATGATTCACCATTTTGGTAAAGTCATGTTAGTGTTAGCGTGAGTTTTCAATTAAGACTAATTGGAGAAATTATGGGGCTGATTAGTTGCTAAAATTATATTACGTAATGTCCTTATTTTTAGGATCAACCGGATCCTTAACCTAAGACAGTGCATAGCCTAAAATAGTTTTTTGGGTAGTTTTTCTCTGTAAATCTATATATATTTTTGTATTCTTTCAAAAAAGAAATAGAGAGAAAAACTTCTCTGTTCATCACGGTATCAGAGCAAAGGTCCTAGGGTTTTCTGCTATGATCAGACCTCGACCAAAAAAAAATTAGAAAAGGGAGGAACCAGACCTGATAAGAAACTATGGAAGAAACAACTGATATAGCGGCGCACCAACAACAAGGCGAGGGTCCTTCTACAACTGCCATCCTTGACGACTTAGCGACCCGAATGACACAAGTATTGACTCAGAATCAGACTCAAACCCACGGGTCAAACAACGATTCTTCCCCTGCACAGATTGGCAATAAGTTGGACGGCACCAACTATGCCTTATGGTCCCAAGTTGTTGAGATGCATATCTCTGGCAAAGACAAATTGTGATATATCAATGGGGAATTTCCACAGCCTCAACTGACAGATCCAACCTTCAGGAAATGGAGAACTGAAATTGTAATTGTGAAGAGATGGTTGATTAATTCCATGGACCCGGCCATGATAAGCAATTTTATTCATTTTCCAACCGCAAAAATGGTATGGGATTCAGTTGCTACAACTTTTTTTGATGGACCTGACACCTCTCAAGTATATGATTTGAAAAAACGTGTGACTAGAATGAGACAAGCCGGAGGGCTCATTGAAACATATTATAATTAATGGTCTTCAAGGTTTATGGTGAGGAATTGATTTCCATCGCCCTAACCCTTGCTGATATAGAGAGGTATAACTCGACTTTTCACGACGATAGAGTCTATATTTTTACTGATGGGTTAGATGATCGTCTGGATAAAATACGGGCTGATGTGCTTCAGATTCGACCGTTCCCTACGATTGAACAAGCTTATACTCATGTCCAAAGGGAGGATGTAAGACAAGCGGTTATGATGTCGAGCACGGAACTTACACAGCTGGAGTCCTCTGGCGGATCTGGAAAGAGAGAAATACCTCCGTTTTTCGCAACCAAAAGCCAAACCCAAAGAACCTAGTTAGCTCAGCCGTGGCGGAAAATCAGTGCTTCATTAACCGGGCTAGGTCGAAGAAGAAGGTGAAAGAATCCGAAATCCCCTCACCTCGGATCTGGAAAGGCCCCGATCGGAGAATCCCTCCAAATTAATATCAACGGATCTTTTTCTACCAGGAACGATGGAAGGAGCTATTATCAGTTGCGTCTGCAGGAATTGTTACGGAGAGATGGTGGACGGCTTTGCAAAGATGGTCAGGGTGCACTCAGCCGAGCAAAGCCGAGACATTGGCCATGATCGAAACCCTCAAATTTCGGTCAACTAGATCTGTGGTCGAAGTATCTAGCAGCTCTGGTCAACGAGGCCATAAGCCTTCTTGTGGCCTTCCTTAACTTAAGCCTAGCCCATTGCAAAAGGGAGGAGAATAGGGTCACGGATTGGATAGCAAATTCTCTTAGGATTGGGTCTCGTCCTCTTAATTGGTTATCGAGCCCACCGGAAGCCCTGTGGGCCTTACTTTGTTCTGATTCATGCCTTTTGATCTCAAACTCTTTAAGTTAATGCAATCGTTTTTTTTTTCCGATAAAAAAAAAATATATAAATAAATGAATAGCCTCCGAAATTACTTTCTTTGCCTACTCAATCGCTAATCTCTTACTTCACTTCTTCTCTAGCTTCTCAAACTGCATGCATCATGAAATTCGTCACCTAAAAACCGGCCCAAAGAAAATAACTCGAAATTATTTGAATCTCGTGTAAGAAAATAGAAGAGAGATGGCATTATTACATAAAAATCCTTCATATGTATCAGTCAAAGCACCGGCTCTTCTTGAAAATAAGTTCATTGGGGTCTTGGCAATGGCCGGCTAGCGACCCTCACCATAGCCTTAGCAAGGATTGCGGCCCTCGCTAAAGAGAGATCTCGTCATTGGTCGTATTCTCCGGCGGCATGTTCGTGATTATCGTCTCCATAAGCTCTCTTTCTTCGAAGGCACCAAAGAAGAGGACAACAACAATGGCAGCTTCCATTGTGGCTCGCGGATATGTCACTTCTCTAGATGATTGTTTGACAAGTAATGTGAGGTGGGCGTGCTTGAGAGAGCCAATGACGCAATGACAAAAAAATTTGTGACTAAGGGTCCGTTTGTTTCACGAAGATGAATAATTTGGAAAATATCTTACTAAAACTGATCGCTTATATCGTTTGAAATAATTAGTCAATAAAAAATATTTTCATTATTGACAATAGTTTATACATTTTCATGGACAATGAAAATAATTTTCGTTCTTTCACATTAATAAACAATACAAGTAATCATTTTAAAAAATATATATTTTTTCAAAATCCCTTATTTTCTGTGAAACAATCGGAGCCTAAGACAAAATTGGCAAAATGAGCACAAAGGCTATAGAGTTTCAAGATACAACAACAATCAACCAATGAGAAAAATGATTAAAAGACATATTTAGCTACTATAAACGGCAACTGCGATAATATCCGCTAAATTCTCGCAAACTAAATAATAATAATAATAATAATAATAATAATAATAAAAGCTACAAAGTATAAGAAATCAGATAAAGGTTCAAATTTTCTGGCCCAACAAAAAAAGAAGGCAAAGGTACTAATTTGAAGAGGGCTAAAAAGCCCGCCGTTTTCGGAAGAGCAAGACTAAGCAACCTAAAACTAATCTACAAGATCGATATATTAAAGAGGTCGCACATTCGAACCAAATAACAGTTTGTCTCGTCAATTAGTATACTAATTTTATAGGTGATTTTAACATACATATTGTTTCTCGGGAGATTTCATGAACTTCCTAAACGTAATAGTAATAATCAATATGGTCCATAGTTTAATGGGCCGCACAACGCAATTGACTCTCTTCCCTCTTCCTTTTTCTGAGTTTTTTTTAATTCTTAATTCTTTAGGACTGATTTTAAGCATAAATTTTCCGTTGGCTTATTTCCCTAAGCGATCCAAATGCTAGAAAATGAGGAAAATGTTTTTCCAGAAGATGTTTTTCGCGAAACAAACATAGCCTTAATATCAGTTCTTTATCATTTTATTTTTACCACATCTTAAGAACATCATCGTGTTTTGGGCCCTTAAAATGCGTTTAAAAGCATAGAATCAAGCAATAATCAATCTCATTTTTCGGACTTTTCCCAAAACTTATAAAGCATTCAAGTCTATTGCCATTCGAACAATACTAGGACTCATTTGAACATCCTCATTCTATATTAGAAGTGCAACCATAGAATCAATCCAACATCATGCCTCGTCATTCATAGTTTGATGTTCGAGTGGGATGTGGTTATTTACCTACAATTCTAGATAATTATAAAATTTAAACACCTTCAAGTTTGAACAATGCCTCCAGGTTGTGAGTTTTGATTACACTGAGACTCCCATTCCACATTAATTGTGCAACTTGCTGATTAGCCCTCTCACTGGGATAGTTGGCATCAAAGAACACGTACTTCGCCAAATAACGACATAATGAATATTCCTCCACTCCTCTCTTGCCTCCACAGGTCGGTTCTGCCTTATAAGGACTTCAATCACAACACACAATTTTCGCTTCCTTAAAACCTAAATCAATTTCACATTTCAAAAGTAAGGACTTCCATTTAGTACACGAGCGATCTAACAATTATGAGTCCATAAGTGGTATAGATAAAATGGTGATTAAGCAAAATTAAGTGCACCTGAGCAAAAATAACTAACCATATTTTGATGGGTTTTTTATACTGTCACTGCCTGTGGTGTAGAAGTCGAAGTAGGAGTACTCGAATCCTTGTAGTTGAGTCTCCAGCTTTGTGAGAATTGAAGGAAGCGCAATGTTCTGAAGCTTTGCGAGCTTGTTGGCTTTACCTGAGCAAGTTCCATTTCTGGTCAATGTTCTCATGGCCGGCACACACCCAATTGGCCCTAGTCCAATCATTGCAAATTTTCTTCCTCCTGCTTTGTATATTCCCTGAAAAGAAAAATCAGAAAGCCAAAATCATCCCTCTTAAAATGTCATAACAATTGACAGATAGTGTATGTAAGTAGAGGAGTATGCCTTCAAGATTGCTCGGGAGATGAACTAATCGACTACACTCAGATACCTCCTGACTATTAGATTAAAGGCACCCAAATAATTACGCAATTCTATACTTGTGACGCACACGGAGCTATATAACTAATAATCAACTAAGTGATATTATAGATTTGTATTGGATATCAAATCATGGCCTAGAAATTTAAATAACTACTTAAAATTGATCGTATTAAGAGCAATTTACTTAAGGATCGGCATTTCGTGTTCACTAGTCAATTTGGATTACAAACTCGTGTTTGATTATGTCATCATAACATATCTCTATTGAACATAAAGAAATATCACGTAGTTCAAACCGTGCCATTTTCGAATATGCCAATTTACATCAGCTTTTGTATGAAAATATGTCGGGAAAAGTGTCAAAAAAGTCATAAATTTTTGTATTTGTGCTAATTTAGTCCTAAACCTTTTTTCGGTGCCAATTCAGTTCTTACAGCTATTTTTGGCTGGATTTTGCTGACGTGGACGCCGGCGGGCCTACGTGGCACGGCCGGCGATAACGTGGACAACTTTTAATAATATTTTTCGATTTTAATTTTCTTTTTCTTTTTCTTTTTTTTTTTTTTTTACCCTTTCTTCTTCCTCCAGCCGGTTGCCTGGAGGCCAGGGCCGGCAAGCCCCGCTAGCCAATGGCGAGGCTCACCCTCACCAGCGATGGCAAAGGCAAGCCTTGCCAGCGGCTAGGCGAGGCATGACCTCGCCAGATCTAGCGAGGTTAGACCTCACCCATGGCCAACAAGGCTCGACCCTCACCAGATCCGATGAAGGCAAGCCTCGCCTAGCCCAGCGTGAGGCTCAAGCCCTCGCCGAATGGCCGCGACGGCGGTCTCGAGCTGGGCTAGGGGAGGCGCGACCTCGCCGGATCTGGCAAGGTTGGGCCTCCCCCATGGCCAATGAGGTTAGGCCTCCCCCATGGCCGGCGAGGCTCGATCCTTGCCAGATTCGACAAAGGCAAGCCTTGCCCAGCCCAGAGCGAGGCCGGCTTCGCCAGTGGCCGGCGAACCTCGCTGGTTCTGGCCTCCAGTCGATCGCCAGACCGGCGACCGGCCGGAGAAAGAAGAAAGGGTAAAAAAAAGAAAAGAAAAGAAATTATAAATAAATAAATAAAATTTGAAAATTATTAAAAATTTTCCACGTCATCGCCGGCGGTGCCATGTAGGCCGGCTGGTGTCCATGTCAGCAATATCCAGCCAAAATTAGCCGGAAGGACTGAATTAGCACAAAGACAAAAGGTTTATAATTGAATTGAAACAAAAAAAAGTTTTAAGACTAAATTGGCACTAATGCAAAAGGTTTAGGACTTTTTTGACCCTTTTGTCCAATTTTTTTGGTCTGTATTCTAAGTACAATTAAAAGTCCAATTCTTTCGAAATTCTTGACATGCTATCCGTATGCTGACAATCATTATCAATGAGGAGTTGTAACCTCCAAGGCCGCTGAGGCGATGGACCGTCATCTGGTGTATTAGCTTTCTTTTGACATTTCAATCCATATATATTCACTTTTCTTCAACATTTAGCTGCATCTCAAGCGGGCTAACGCTATGCACATTTCGTCGACGAGCTTTGCTGCACTTCTCAACTATGCGTCAACGTTGACATTGCGTATCTGTCGATTTCTGCACATAGATGTCAATGTCCATAGTTGTCAATATATCGATTAAGTCCTATTGCTCATCGATCACAAAGATTTATTCATTTTTTTGTGTAAACAAGTTGACACGTCATTCCTCCATCAATGGCCTTTGAGATTCACTTGTCGTTTCTTCAATCACGCCAAGCCAGACAAAGATAACTTAATTAAAAAAAAATAGAGGGACGCAAAAGATTACCCATGATAGAAAAAAATCAAATGTGAATTTCTCTTTTATTTTTCAGTTGATGTTGGTCTATATTAGGAGAGACCGTAATGCCAAAGGGAGCAGTGTCGTGACTTGGATGAATTAGCTATAAAGTAGAGTTGAGTTTGAGTTTGAGTTCAGTCATGGTGGCTAATGAAAAAAAAATTGCACCGAGGAATCAAAACTACAAGCTATATAAATCATCAGCCAATGGATCTACTAAAGAAAATGACTCTGATTTATCCGTAGAGCCTCACACCTCATAAAAAAATGTAAATGCTACTAGACCAATCATGCCAAAGATAACTATGGGCCCGTTTGGTTTAGCATTTGACATATCATTGACCAAATGCTAATATTTGAAATGCCGAAAGCCCAAAGCTGGTCCAGACCAGCTTTGGGCTTTTGACATTCCACAAATGATGAACCCAAATTTTTTGTCCCCAAACTACCCTCACTGATTTTGGCTTATTCCGATTTTGCCCATCTTGTTACTGTTCATCTTCTTCATGAGGCGGCTGGCGAGGGAGGCCGGCACCGGATCGGGCCGGCGAGGTCGCACGACCCAGGCAATGACCGCCTGAGGTCACGCGACCGCCCAGGCGACGACAGCTTGAGGTCGCGCGATCTCCCAGGCGCCGCTAGCCTGGGTCGCGCGACCACAAGCGGCGGCCGCCCGGGTCCCGCGACCTCAGGCACCGGCCGCCTGGGTCGCGCAACCCTAGCCGAGGGTCACCTGGCCTCGGGCGACGGCCACCGGCGGCAAATCTGGCTTGCCGAGGGTCGCCTGACCTCAGGCAACGACCGCTGGCGATAGATCTAGCTCTCCGGAAGGCCGGCTCCGGCGAAGGGTAAGGTAGGTTTTTTTTTTAAATAAAAAAGATAATTCCCAAAGCCCTTTTGCAAAATAAAGTTTACCAAACACTACTTGGCCCAAAGTAGCTTTACAAATGATTTTTTACCAAACGCCACTTGCATTTCTCCAAGAGGCTTTAACCTTATTTGCACTCCCCAAAGTAGCAATTCAAAAGCTGAACCAAACGGCCCTATATGGATTACGTTCACATTTAACAAAAGAACTGAGTCCTGCAATCTGTAACCAAGCAGGCATTGTACTGTAGGCTCATATGGGATTATGTGCACAATCGCATTTGCGCCCAGTGTGCTTGGGGAGACGCGGCTTCACTTCATATGCTTGAGAGACGACATGAGAACCTTAACTTTGCAATCAACATCGAGTTCCGATGATATGCTTAAATCGGATGCATCGACCTCCGGACTGCCATGGATCATAATGTCGAAGACTCCTTGGGCAAGTAGAAACATTGATGAGCATCATAATTGCCGTGTTAAAAGGCAAAAGAGTTTGCAAGAAACGGCTTGCTTAACTTAATATAATTGCCATGTGAAGCGAATTATATGGAAGTGAGCTTCCCTCCGAAAAAAGGATTAAAGAGTGCAGTAGCATGTTAAACCTTGAATTCCAAGGGGGCCGTATGAGAATTTAGAAACCTAGTGCTTTGATAGAGAAAATGATCCAGAGTGGAATGATTTCAGATATCGATTCATTAGTAAAAAAATTTCTCCTACTTTTGAATTACCGAAGCAAGTACTTTATGTAAGAATCGAAGCGGACCCCTCGTTATATGGTCCACTTAAGATATAATACTGGCTTGCCTGAGTTTGTGGTGACAAGTTGTGAATACTGTGATTCCAGGTTCTATCTGGGGAAAGTATCTTATTACTAAATCCCATAGCACTAATTTGCCATCTTTCTTAGCGTGCATAGAGTTGAGTTGCGCTGAGTCACTAGTTACATGATGGCAGGATTGGTCCAGAAATGGCAATTGCCATCAAACAGAATTGTTTCTGCTTCGATTCTCCTTAAAGCTCTTATATGAAATAACAATCAATCGACTCTTCATTAGTAGTCAAAACTCGTAGTAAGAGAAAACTTGACTTGAGGACTGCATGACGTGCACTTCGCGATCAGTTATCCAGATTATGCTGGAACTAGAATCAGAGATACAAAATAAATCCTGAGAAGAGTTTGTACTGGGCTTAAACATCGAGTACGGTAATTATTGAGATAATCTATTTGATAGAGTCTGCATAAGTTGCATTGATGAAATTAAACAAGGAATTAACATAGACTACGGGAGATCATGCTGTGACTATCCTATTTACTTTATAGTGTCATAACCTCAGAATCATATAGCTGCAAAGAGAAATCACTACGCTGCTAAGTGCTGATAGATACACTGATAGATATAAGTAGGTTCATACATTGAGCTCTCAACTCCATCACTGTGCTTATATATGACGAAACTGCAAGAGAAAAACTCCCACGAACCAGTGAGAAAGGAAAGGAAACGTAATCTTATTAGCACCTCAGAACTTACATACAGTAAAATTATTTCATTACGTTAACAAACCTGTTGCATCTATAGCTGAACAAACATGGAGGACACTATCGTTTAAAAAGAAAGAAAGAACAAAAGAAAACAACATTCGAGTTCTTTATTCTTGCCTATTTTCCTGCACAAACAGCTTACCATTGCTTAATTTGAAGAAAATAAAGCAGAGCCATTCCTAAAAACAATTATCTCCTTTGATGGATCTCAGGATCCCAAGACCTACAATTTCACGTATCTTTTCACAATCTTCAATGTACAGAGATTTCAGGCTTTTGAAGTTCGATAGGTCTGGCAACTTTTCGACAGATTTGCAGCCAATAATTCTCAAGTTCTCCAAGGACTCTAACTGGTCAAGGCCTTCAATGTCAGTTATCTTCTCGCAACTCTCGATCTCCAAGTCCTTCAGCTTCTTCAAGTTTGACAAGTCTGGTAGTCTCTCCAAGGATCTGCACTCCGAAATCTGCAATTCCTCCAGGGATTCCAATCTGTCAAGCCCTCCAATATCCTTGATCTTATCACAATTCTTAATTTCCAGAATTTTCATCCTTTTCAAGTTTGACAAATCAGGTAAACTCCCAATGGATCTGCATTCGGATATCTGCAGCTCTTCCAATGACTCCAATTTATCAAGTCCTTGGATCTCGAGCAACTTCTCACAGTCTCGCAGCTTAAATTCTTTCAGCTT